ATATTTGCTCTTCCAAAGCCGTAACACTAGTAATAAAATCGAGCGTAATACAGATATTCGATCAGGCACATAAGTGCCATTACTTCGTAATACATATCACATGCTATACCAAAGAAGAAAATCGAAGAAGCCTATAAAATCAAGAGCAACAGAAGATTGAGCAACTCTGGCTCATACTAATTAATTCGTGAATGAATTGATCACCAAACCCGAAATTAGTTTTATACTTATCTGATTTTTATATATTATGCCATATGTTACAGAAAATCGGAGACTCGACCCTTTGGATCATTGTTTAATGTGCATATATTAATAAATTTTTAATTTAATTTTAACCACTTACCTCCCCCTTTCGATTTCTATTCCATATGAAATTTTTTATTTTGGATCACCCGGTCCGAGATGTGATAAAAATCATACTTCTTTAGGATGCTATACCGTGATTATCTGACGATTAATTTGGTTGTGACAGCTAATGATACTAATCACTGTTGAGTCACGGTTGAGTTGCAGTATTTTTTTTCTATATAATTCTATGAAAAACAGGTGTATCACAGTTGAGTCGCGTTAGAATCTTGTTGAAAGAAGAAATAGAAATGCCGAGTATCATGATATTCATGAAAGTAGTAGGGTGAGTTTTTGGAATAATATTGCGAATATAATTAATGAGAGATTTAGTACCAACTATACAGGATATCAATGCAAGGGTAAATTTCAAAATCTTGTAAGGGATCATACTGTAAGTATTTTTACCGAAGGCACTTATTGACAGATTGAACCATAATTAGGTTATAACCTAACGATTTTCTTGATCCTCTTTAGTTGATGTGCCAATATATAGCAGGAAATCGTGCAGGGTGTAGAACCAGAACCGGAGTACGATACTTTGAGGAATTCCGTTCACATTTTTGGAAGAGACCAGGTAAGGTTCTACATTAATCTCGAACATTCGTCTGCCTTTGCTGTAGGTGTCTTTGAAATAGAAACAAATTATTAATTTGTTAATTATGTATAAAAAAATCTAGAAACACAGTTTGATCAGATACATAAGTAAACACATCCTCAAGAAGAAGAAGAGAAGAAAGACGGCAAAACCGCACTCCACCACCAACCTACGAAGAAGTTTCATCAATGCTAAATATGAGTCGCCGTGAATCTCCTGCCGGTCAAAGGGATCGATCTGCATCCCCGGCCCAGAGAATTCCTACCAGAAGAGACGAAACTACTAATCGAGATAATATAAATAATATAAATGATGCGGATGGGAATTCAGGCTATAACACTAATGATGTAGGTAGAAATTTAGATAATGCGACATACTCATTTTTATCTAATTTGGTAAATACTACCTCAACCCCTAATATATCTGCATCACAAAATGACAGTGATATTAGTATGCCCAATATAGAAGGTAGCCAACCACCTTCCTGTATGGAAAATATAAATGAAGAGGATTAGCCTCATATTTGTTTTTAGGGGTGGCTTCCCTAAGCCATAAATATTCCTACATCCTATGATAATTGTATAACGGCAATAAATAATTCAAATTTTGATCCATTAGATGATTCGGTCATGTATAAAACATCGTGTGGATGTTCACTCAACATTCGATTTTACGTATTGTGATTTCAGATTCGCTATAAAAATAAATATTCAAAAGAAATGCCTGCAAACAAATATGTGCATTATTTTAGATGCAAACCATCCT